GCAAGGCACGTGGCCATGCCCACCATCAAGAGGGCAGAGAAATACAATCTGCCTTTAATGGGATTAACTGTTAAATCACAGGAAACAGGCAATCACATGGAAAAGGGTATAGGGAGGGGTGAAAAATTGGTGCCAATAATCCAACCTACTCCGGCCTAACCATACTAATTTATCTCATTTTCTTCTAGCTAGATCTAGAATAGTCAGATTTCTTTTTTTAATAATTCATTATGGAAAGCAACAAACTATAAGGTTTATTTATCATAAGCATAAAAGGCAGGCATTGTGAATGCACTGAACACTGGTCATTTATCACGGAAAGTCTGAATCTTCCATGATCTATAGTTAATGTGATGGACTCATTTCCTTCTGGCTCTTTAGTACATCCCATTGGTGTAAATGTGCCACTGAGCTCTTCTCTGTATTTCCATGCATGTCATTTGTCTCAGGAATCCAACCTTCGGGTTTCAGTGGAGCCCATAGTAATAGCTCTTTCCCATTTTTATGTCTGAAATCTTTCTAGCATGCCTCTTGGGGAAAACCAGGATTGTTCATATATTAAGGCATTTCTGTACTTCTAACATCTCCAAATTATCATCTTAAAATATCCCTACATCTGTTTCTTACAGACTTTCGCTCTTAAGCACATAATGTAAAATATTTGTTTTTATGAAACAAGTAGGAAATAGCCCTATTATTATATTACCCATCATATGATATTGCTTTAGGATTCTAAGTCTGCCCCTCAAATTATATAAACCTTTAAAATCCTTTCAATGGTGACACCACTACCATCACAATTGATCCTGTCAATCATTTTCCAGGGACAGCAACCAGGTCTTCTGATCCATGTCGCTTAAAATGTGCAGGTGGGTTTTGTTCTTCTGTGTCGACCCGGGTATCCGGTAAAGCATGGACAGAGCCCCCGTGAGCACATCCTTTTTGAGGCCTAAATTACTTGTTAAGAGTGGGCATGAGAAGGAGCCCGGGCTCTTCTGTGCTGCCAGGGGCGCACAGCTCAGTAGTACGCACCCCACTGGGGCTTACGTTGCCCCAATCGGAGGGGATTTGGGGTGTAAGGCGCATGTTCAGTTGTCACAAGGGCCGAAGAGTGCTGCTGACATTACGGCCGGAAGCCAGGAATGGTCACTTCAGCCAGGAGCATCCTGCTCTGCGGAGACGTGTCCTGTTCAAAATGCCAGTTGTGCTTGGTGTGCAAACACCGACTCAGGGGAGTGTAGCTGGTGTCGATCGGGAGTTTTAGTCGCAGGCAGCGTGTGGGCTGTAAGTGCACGAGGAACTTTAGGGCAAGGTACCAGGAGCTCCCAGAATCCCCAGGAGGTGCAGAGCATCAGGCTGAAGACCCAATAGCAGCAGGAAGGCCCCACTACACGGCCAGCTGCTCCAGGGGACCCCCAGGGGACCCCCCCGCCACTACCATTCCCAAGGGCTGGCCACCCCTCCACCACCCTCACTGGAATGGGTTGAGTCCATGCAGTCAGCCCTCGCCCGGGGGACCCCAGGTCATGTGCCTGAACCCCAGTGACAAAGAAGGCTGACAGAGTGAGCTCCGGCCCCTACCTCAGGCCCTCTACCCTGGGGAAACGGGGCTCATGCGGTAGCAAGTTCTCTCCCAAGAGGAAGGTGTTCAAAGATGCTGGGAAGTCAGAGTTGGCAAATATCCATGAAATCCTCTGAAGCCCCTATCACAGCCCCTTCATACAGACATTTCTCAAGCAGGAACCGGAGAAAAATAGCTTCCGAATGTGCCTTCTAGAGTCTTACAAGGGTATACTTAGTTTCTCCCCACTGTTCCATATTCATCCTATTTTTTCTGCCTCAATTTTTTGGATTGGTGCATACATATCACTAATGTTTCCTTTGTCAGAACTATAATTTCTGTCCAGGTATAAACTTACTCTTTGTCCTCTCTCTGCCTGCAACTTTATAGATCCCACACAAGCATTTACCAAAAAAAAAAAAAAAAAGATTTTAAAAAATTATGGATACCATATATGTGTTTTTAAAAATAAGCCAGGAGAGGACACTGCACCTTGATTCAGACGTTATCATGGTGACCTTGTGCCCACCCGGGTTCTGGCGGGAAGCGTGGGAAGCAATCTGAAGGGTTGTGCCAGTTCGCTCTAAGGTTAAGAACGAGAGCCCCGAACGCCATACAGCTGCTCAGGCTGGCAGGCCTGCAGGCCAGTGGGTCGGAGTTGTGCCGAACACACACAGGTATAGGGCAGCGCCCTGGGATAGTGGCTTTTCAGAAATGGTTTGAACCACTAAAAGGAAAGAACGGAAGTTTACTGGAAAGTATGAAGTGACTCCTCAGTTGTGTTGTTCCTAACTTTGATGCTTTGACCTTAAGGACTTAATGACCTTCCCATAAGCGACCAAGGCAGACTCTGCAGAGGAGCAACTACTGCAATTTGCATCTTAAAATCATCCTAAGTCGCTTCAGGGTATCAGCTGCCCTTACCGGGTGCAAATAAGCAGCTTCTGGTGTATCACATTGGTGATGCCAGCACCCTCCTTCAGCACTCAGCTTCCTTTTTATTCCCAGAACCATGATCCAGGGGGAAAGTTCTGTAGCTGTATCAGAATTTTAAATTCACTGACTCAAAGTGAATTTCTTTAATATTCATGTTTACTATGAGTGAAATAATCAAAGGTTTTGTGTTGTTAGCCTGCGTGCTATCAAATTCATGTAGGGACGTGGAAACTATTTTTTTTTAAAGTACACTGTATCTATTTATTTTTTATATGGGTTCTCTTTACCTGAGAAAGATTGGAATTGAGAAATGCATCTACAATTTGTCCAAAGAACAAATTATTATAATAGAATTTTTGAACATGATGAATACAATGGATAACAATCGATCATCCGAGTTACGTTTGGACATACTATAGGCTTATTGTCTTTAATTACTTAATGAAATAAATCTGAATTTGTCACATAACGTGGTAGCTGGTTTATGCATCTGTGAGTGCGTGCAGAAGTGCAAACGTATCTTATTGGTCACAGGTCTGAAATGAGGTGTAGAATATGCAGTTAACACTGATTGATTTACCTCCTTGGGAGAACACCTGGTGGCTGGAATAGCTGGGTGGGGGCACACTGGGGTTTGGAGAGAACAGTGTGAATCCTAAGCATGCTCGCGCTCCCGGGTCAGCAGGTCTCACAGGGCGGTAGTTAGCCTAGACCGAGAAGTGGATTGATACAGTGAGAGAACGTTCTGCAAACAGGCCAAGTGCAAAGAGGACGGACTCTTGTCCTGCTGTTGAAAATATAACTTTTTAACACCCCTTAAAGTAGTTATCTAGGATCTACCATTTTTCCAGTTACTGAAAGATGTTGGACTTTTGTTATAAATGTAGGTACCATCGCAGTTTCCCTGCCTCAAGATGGGAACTAACACACATGGAACAGAATGCGTAGCATCCAACTCTTGATTTTCAGCTCAGGTCTTGATCTCGGGGTTGTGGGTTGAACGCACAACCCCGAGATCCTTCATTGGGATCCGTGCTGGGCACAGAGTCTGTATTAATAAAGAAAATCACTTCTCAGTGGTGGATGATCCAGAAGCCACAATGCATGTCCTGGACCAAACCAAGACCAATTAATACGATCTTAGGACAACATATTCTGGTGATGTAACCCTACAAGCAATTACTCTATGACTCTGATTAGTGGGGAAAGGTCATTTTGAATATTTCAGATCCCAAACTTAGATTTTTACAAATTCTTCTTTGGTTTTTAGAATGGATCCATGAAGAAAACAACATGTTTTGCCGTATATTTTCCATTATTTTCGGAAACCTTCTTTAAAGGAAGATTTTATTGGTAAGAATTAGAATTTTTAAAGCCTAAATTAAATATCTGGGGATCCGTCCTCTCCAGTTCCATCCTATCAGCTGACAACTCTGATGTTATAGAACTTCAGGGCTGCAGGGAGCTGGCTGAGTCACAAGAAAGTGACCCCCTTGGTTGCTGTTAGTCCTTAACGTGGTAGAGAGGAAGTGTTGCATTGTGGAAAGTCTGTGGCTTTGAAGATCCAAGTCTAAATTTAGCCCCACCTTTTATTAGCTCTATAAATAGCCATTTAGCTTTACAGCCACTTAACCATTTACACCCCAGCCCCCCACCCTGTTTCCTAGCTTCCTAATCTGTAAAACAATCCTAGTAGCTTCCTAGTAGGGTCAATGAAGGGAAGAAAAGTAAGGACGTGCCTAAATCACCTGGCACGCAGGCATCTAACCAATGGAAGCAATGATTCTTACCTAAGAGACCTGTAACCCCAGATTGCAAACAGGACACTCCCTCAGCCTTTCACTTAGTTTGGGAAGACTGGAGGAGTTCCTTGGGAATAAAGGTTATTTATGGATACAGGCTGAGAAGAGCTCTTTCTCCTGAAATCCTGTTAACCTGGATTATGAGACAGTGAAAACTGCCCCAGAAAGTTGAGATGGGGCTCCGGGTTGCAGCTCACAGCCAGCTCCCTAACAACAGAGGCCTTGCATTAGGCACTCAGTCTCCTAGAGGCCATTTCTTCATTTGAAAAACAAGGCAAGCCCCAAAATATCTTTGCTTCCTATCTTAAAGGTTTATGTAAGGAAGCTGTCTCGGAGCAGGAAAGTCCTCCACCATCAAGGAACTTCATGGTAGGCAGCTCCCTGCCTTCCAGCTGGAAGGCCTCACTTTGCTCCTGCTGTCACTTCCCTGGCACATAATTAGCAGTTTGTGGGGTGCTATTTGGGTTTTCTTTGTGTTTGGCGTTGTTTTGTTAATTCTCTGTGAAGCTAAGTGATTTGAGGTGATTTAAAATTCTGAAGTTGACGGTGCTCTGGCAATGGTGTTGTCCGAGCATGAAGAATAAGGACATAAGTAATGGTGAAAACACACTGAAACTACCAGAGCTCCTGCTTAGGACTTCCTTACACCAACACAGCACCCATTTCCAAGAATGAGGAAAAAAGTGAGGAGAGGCAACAAGGGAAAACAATACATTTATTAAAAGGCATGAAAATGCATAAACTCATTTATAAATAAATGTAGGATTTACCCAGTGAAAAAATAGCTAAAATCCATGAGTAAATTGGATTTTACATTTGAAATGATTACATATTTGATCTCCAATAATTTCCCCTCCATCATGATCTCTTAGTAGCAGCAATTTTGCAATGACTTATAGAAAAAGCCGTTACCAATTAGTATCACGGGGGGGGGGGGCAGTTTTTCAAGGATTTTCTTTAAAAATGAACCAGTGCAAACAAATTCAGGTTATAAGGAATACAGTAAGACCTAGGGCTTATCTTCAGAAAAGTAGAAAATAAAAATCCCAAACATTCATTCATTAAGAAATGAAAAAGCAAACTACATTTTGATCATTAAAAAATAATACATATGGATGTTAAAAAACATTCTTAACCAGTAATTATAATAATTACACTTAGAAATGCTCATTCAAGTACTAGTGTTCAATAAACATTCAGATTCCCGTTAAAGTAACACTAGATAGAGACTTGTGTGGACAATACTACTTCTGATTTAATAGCAACAACAAAAAAAATCACATCAACAGAAGGCAAGTGACCCTTAAAATACTGTATTTTTTTTTTGTCTGTAAATGATTTTTCACAGTCTGTGCGCATCACCTGCGGGAACCCAAGGACCATGTCGCGACAGCTAATGAAGTCCTTTCTATAAAATGACTCTTGATATTACAGAAACAAACATGCGAAAGCACAGGGTCAGCTCTAAACACAACAGGGCAGAACCAGTTTTCTTTGGCAAGAAATCATCAGCTCCTGGCGGAGCGGTCGTGGCCTGTTGCGTGGCCGCGCTCAGGGCCCGGGGTGCGGGGGGGGCGCCTGGAGCACCCGGTCACCGGGGTCGCTGCCGGGCTGGCTGCTAGCAGGTCTTCCTTCCAGAAGCTCCCTCCTTATCCTGGCCTGAGTCTCCGGCTTTAACAAGAGTTCCTTTATCTGCTTCACCTTGGACTTCAGACCCATCCTTTCTCGCCGCAGAGCTTCACGAATTAAGTCCTGGAGTCCAATGGGCCTCTTGCCTGCGGGGAGAAAAAATTATATGACACATTTTACATATAAATGCCAGTGAAAAGCATTACATAGGGCATACCGACTTACCAAAGTAGGTTAAAAGAAACCTTTATGTTGTTGCCCACGTTTTATAGAAAAGGTGGTTGCATTTTGCCAAAAAATATATCATTTGCACGAAACGAATTTGCTGTAAATAAAAGTCCCCGCATGGCAATAACATATGGAAGACAGACGTGAGACACTGTGGACCGACAGGGTGGAGGACGATCCCGACGGGCAGGGTCTTCGGTTTAGCACTTGCAGCTGCCGGCCAGGCAGCAGGGATGGCAGGGCTCCCTCTAGCCCAGGCTCTCGGCGGCCTTCTGTCTGTGTCCAGGAGGCACAGCCCAGAGCCGCCTGCCTGGGCCATGCGGAGGGCAGGTGGGACCTGGGCCCCTCTTCTCCCACAGTGACCCCCGCTGCCCGCGGCGCCGTTTGTCCCCCGTGGTGCTTCAGAAACGCAAGCACATTGGCCACGGACGTAGGAGGCCGTCTCCACAGACTGGACGAGAGCCGGCGGTGCAGGCGGTGCAGGCGGTGCGGGCGGTCGGTGGGCCCGTGGGCCTGTGGGCCCGGCAGAGGGGAGCAGGTGCCTCCCGGGGCGGGGGCCTGCCCGGGCCTCACCTCCCGCTCTGGTCGCCGTCAGCGCCACCCCGGTCAGCCGCTCGGGCCTTCCCGGAGCTCCCATCCGCGGGCTTGCCTCTGCTCTGCGTCTCCTCCAGGTACTGCTGCACGGCCTTGAGCACCGCGTTCTCCACCAGCCTCTTGCTGAGCCTTAGCAGCTCAGCGTCGTCGGGCTCCCCTCCGTTCTTAGCACCTACATTCCGCGACAGAGAAGAGAGGTCACAGAGGTCATACTGCCACCAGGACTCGCACGCACGGCCGGCTAGCTCACTTAGCTAAAAAGTGCAAGTGTCCTTCAATCTGGCAAATTGGACCTTTACATCCGAGAACACAGGTTTGGCTTTTCATTCGGTATTTGCAGAAACAGGAAATTGCCTATTCCTGGAGATTTCAGATTGAAAAGTAGTTCAGTAACCCCAGTCTAAGAATACTCCACCTCCTCATGCTAGAAGCTTCCCATTTCTAGAATTTTTGTTCTTCTTTCATCCATGGCTGTTTGCTACTATGAAAGTCCATGTGCCCACACCGGGAGCCTCTGGCACGTGACTGCACCTACTACATCTGCATCTGCTTTTCCTTCGCAACTGCCAAATGTCAGGTGATTAGGATTTCCCAATCAACTCGTTTTTCCCAATCAACCTGCTGGCCTGCAGGTTGGTTGCTAATAAACTTGCAGAACTTCCGTGAAGACGAGTACTACTGCTACAAAATGGTTTAACCTTGTAAAACTAATATTCTTTTTTTTAAATCTCAGTGCTATCACTTCAATTGAAGAAATAAAAAACTCTTCAAGAGTTAGGATGATGACAGTAAATTACCAGATGTTAATACTTCATAGCCATTTTATTTCCCAGCTAGTGATGATCAAGGTTTGACTATTCCATCTTTCATTTTACTGTAAAAGGTCTGGTTCTCATCTATTCCTATGCTAGACATTCCCACTCACTCTCTTCCTTGTCTCCATTAACTGGGGAAAAAACACACGGGACTCGTGGCTCATGCCCATTCAGTCCCTCATCTCCTTCCACCAAGCTGCTAACCCAGAAAGGGAGATGACTGGAGGCAAAGACATTCAAGCACCCAAATATGATAAACAAATATCAACAGATCCCAAGTAAGTGACAGAGAGCAGTAAAATAATAGTTGGGGATTTCAATATTCTACTTTCAACAATGAGTGGATCATCTGGCCAGAAAACCAACTGGACTTGAACGATACCCAGGGATCCCCTGAACGATACTTTAAACTAAATGGACATAACAGACATATACAGAACGTCTAATGGTAGTCAAAATAGTATGGTATTAGCATAAAAACAGACACATAGACCAAGGGAGCAGAATCTAGAGCCCAGAGATAAACTCATGCATAATATTTGACAACGGAGCCAAGAAAACACAATGGTGAAAAGACAGTCTCTTTGATAAATGATGCTGGGAAAACTGGACATCCACATGCAAAAGAATGAAACTGGACCTCTAGCTTATGCACATACACAAAAATTAACTCAAAGTGGATTAAAGGCTTAAACCTAAGACCTAAAACCAGAAAACATCTAGAAGAAAACAAAGGGAAAAAAGCTGCTTGACATTGGTCTTGCAATGATTTTTTTGGATGAACCTAAAGAGCAAGCAACGAAAGTAAAAATCAGCGAGTCAGACTGTATCAAACTAAAAATCTTCTTCAGAGCAAAAGAAATAATCAACAAAATGAAAGGGCAATCTACAGAATAGGAGGATATATTTGTAAATCATATATCTGATAAAATATCATATATTTTGATATTCAAAATATATGAGGAACTCCTACAACTCAATAGCAAAGACATAAACAATCCAGTTTAAAAATGGGCCGAGGACTTGAATAAACATTTTTTCCATGACATGCAAATAGTTAACAAGTACATGAAAAGGTAAAAGGTGCTTCAATATCACCAATCATCAGGGAAATGCAAATCACAACCACAGTGAGATATCTCCCCATACCCGTTAAAGTTATCAAAAAGCAAGAGACAGCAAATACTGACAAGAATGTGGAAAAAAGGGAGCCCTTGTGCACTGTTGATGGAAATGTAAATTGGTGCAGCTATTATGGAAAACAGTATGGAGGTTCCTCAAAAAATTAAAACTAGAATTACCATGCGATGCAGCAATCTCACTTCCAGGTATATATCTGAAGAAGACAAAATCACAATCCCAACAAGACGTCTGGGCTCCCATGTTTATCACAATATATTTCACAACAGCTAAGACATGAGCGTATTGATGAATGGATAAAGAAAATGAGGTATTTATATAAAATGAAATATTCAGCCATTAGAAGAAGGAAATCCTGACATTTGTGACAACATGAATGGAACTTGAGGGCATGTTGGTTAAAGGACACAAACTCAGTTATACGATGAATACCCCAAGATCTAAGGGGCCCCAGGTAACTAGAGTTAACAACAAACACTGTGTCGTGCACCTGCACTGTTGCTATGAGAGTAGAGCCTTAATGTTCTCACTATAACAACAAAACATAATTCTATGAGGTAAAGATGTGTTAATTAATATTTTTGTGGCAAACATTTCTGTAATCTACATGTGTACCAAACCATCACATTCTATAAATGAAACTTACACAATGTTATATGTCAATTACATCTCCAAAAAGCTGGGGAAGAACAAGAGGTAACTAGAATGCTCGCATGTGAAGGTCAGCTCAGTTTTGGAATGTCATCCGTGGCCTCCAGAAGGTAAAAGCCCAGTGTTGCACTTGCATTCTTAGGTCTGGGGCAGGTAGTTACTAAGGGTGTTGAGCTGGAAGATGGACACTTATTTTCTATCCTTACATATAACAGGGATTGAAATTCAAAAGCACATATGCTAAAGGCCTCCAACCCTCCTTCGGAGCCCACCACGTCTACTCAACCCACATCCAGGAGCAGCTCTGTTTATAACCATCAATCCTAGCAACATCCAAGCCAATGAGAGATAGGTTGAAGACCCATCTAGACTTGCTACAAGAGGGAGGCCTTGGCCTTAGCAATGGCTTTCCCCTCAAAAGTGGCAACATGGCACCCCAGACCCATGATCAAATGCTCTAGAAAGAACGTTTGTGGTGCAAAATATGCTCAGAATTCAGTAAACTTCAACTCCATAATATCTACATGGAAGTCGTTAAACATAAATATGTTAGGATATTATTAAAAGAAAGATAAATTCATTACTAATACCACGTGTGAAGGCAATTTAGGACTATTTTTATTAGTAAGAATGAATGAATATATTGCTTAATACTTAAAGGATTACATCTTATAAGATGTTTATACTGTGTAGCTAATACCTCCAAATATGTTACCCATCTGGAACTATCTGTATAATGGCCCTTCAAATTTAAAAGGGAGGTTGTGCCTGGGTGGCTTAGTTGGTTAAGCATCTGACTCTTGATTTCAGCTCAGGTCATGATCTCAGGGTGGTGAGATGGAGACCCGCTTGGGGCTCCATGCTCAGCAGGGAGTCTGTTTAAGATTCTCTCTCTCTCTCCCCCTCTGCCCACCCTTCAACTCATGCTCATGCTTGCTCTCTCTCTCTCAAAAAAAAAAAAATCCCCCAAACATAAAAACATTAAAAAAGGAAAACTCAAATTGCAAATAAAGGAATGCTCTTTAAGTACCCTCCAAAACACGAGATGACTGTACCTGCCACCCTACTTGTGCTGTGCGCCTAGGCCAAAGAATGCATTTCTCTGGGCTGTCCCTTACCCTAGTCAGCTTGAAGATAACATCAGTCATCACGTCACTGACAAGTCATCAGTAAGAGAGCAGGGGTTGTATTGGAGTCTGATCTAACTCATTCCCTAAAATGCCTCAGGTCAAATAATCTCTGTTTCTGAGATTTTTTCTGTCTGCTATAAAATGTTCTCATTACTTCAAACACTAAAAGATTTAAAACACAAAAATCTTCCCACAAAAAAGTTAATTTTCCCTTCTGCTTTTCCTATTTCTGATCATGTTTTCACTCTTATCGAAGTCAACCAAGCTCAAGACTGTCTTCATCTCTGACTCTTTCATTTTTCTCATCAATTGATTTAATCACCAAGCCCCATCAAGTGCTTTTCGCAATTTCCTCTCGTCAGTGCATCTGGCATAATACCTCTAGATTAATATTTCTAAAATGTCCCTTTTAGTCTCCATTGAATCTATAGGAAAATTTAAACTCATCTTCCTAAGCTTTCTAAAATTGACCTTTGGTGATCTCCCACCACTGCTGTGCTCCCACTGTCAGCTTCCAGTGTCTCCTGAGGGGCCTCCATATCATCCTCTATTTCTACATGACCCTCCCTTTCTCTATTTAAAATCCCACTGCTCCATGAAGCCTTCCCTGACTAACCCAGCCAGGATAGTACAAGGTCATTTGGTCATTCATTCACATATGCACTGAGGACCTCCAGTACACCTGGCTAGTCTAGCCTATGGAAATGGAGCAGAGAACAAAACAAAGTCCTACTGGTTTTCCTTTAGAAATTATGAGCATTGTTTATGAATGTATTTATTCAATAACTATTGATTATCTGCTCTGCTTAACATACGGTCTTGAGTACAGAAGCCAGGTCCTAGGCTTCTCAGTCATCTCTCACTCTTCTAATGTATGACACAGTTTATTGAATACCATGAGAGCTCAACAAATATTTGTTAGTCTAATGAACTATTGATTAAAATCCTTGAGGACTCTAAATGTTGCTATCTTGCTATAAGGATAGCATACCTTGGCCAGAAATCTGCATTTAATATTAATTTAAAGCAAGAGCAGAGAATTCCAGAGTAATTCAAATAGTCATGTGAAAAATCTCCAAACATTTGGCTTGATAAACCTGGCCAATATGACAAAATATCCAGCCTATGGGACAAATATTAACCATCTACGATAACGAACCAATCAACCAAAAAAGCAAAGAAATTTAGAAATGAATCTTCCAGATCTGTCCTGAACTTTACCTTATGATTTCCATAAAGCATCATCAACCCTAACCATGAGCTCAAGGAAGACCCTACTGGAAGGTTCATCAAGGAGCCTCGAAAGAGCACAGCAATTCCAAGAATGTGTGTCTTCATTCCAGTAAGACCTTATTTGTAGTCCCACTTTTAACAGACTTATTTTCAACTTACTTAACAAAAGGCATCTTAAGATTTAAGTAATACTGTATTTTTCT